ATGTTTTGTGGAAATAATTTATAAGGAGACGTCATTTGATACAAGGTTTAACTACCTGAGTTAGTCTGAGTTCCCTACCAAACGTCAGATTGTTGGGGAACCTAGATAATGGAGGGGGGGTAATTTGGTTTTGTATAAAGATATGTTTTGGACCACATAGCAAGGGCCTTACATGAGCTATCAAATGAAGGAAGCTCAAATTGCAACTACAGTTTCACCCCATTTCAGGATTCAGCAGAACACTTAAGTATGGTGAGACTGCATTGACAAAGAATGTATATCTTAATCAAACATTTTATTGACTATAACTAGGTAGCAAAATATTCCCCCATGTGAGGAAATTCCAAGTTCTATCAGCTATCATTTTCAGTGTCCAATGTTCGGAGGGATGGCAGATTTCCACTCTGCTGTAGGAGCTCACTATTAGCAGAAGGATGCTCTGCCAGTGGTGTATTATAGAGCAGCCTGCACTTTTTTAGGAACAAAACGTACTGGCAGGATTGGATGGGCAGGAACACTGAGGAGACAAAATGCTTTGACATTATTAGGTAGTGCTTCTCTCCTTAAACTGAAAAAGAACAGAATAGCAATTCAGTCATCCCTACAGCAACCTCACTCAATGGGGCTTTTCCCTGTGTTTTTTTTCTATTCAATGAAAACAATTCATATCCAGGAATTACATGATACAGGGAGACTGGGATATACGTGTTGTGGTTTAACCCAAGACAATAGGCTATTAATAAGAGGAAATAGGTAAAAAGGCATTTTTCACTAAGACCATTTTTATCACCTCAGGGTTATAAGTAATAATACAGAAAAATGTAATAGAAAAATGCTGAAAATATCCAAATATTGGCAAGCAGAGAAAATAGGATAATAAACCCAACTAAAAGTGATTTTAATTCTTGATGGTAAACTCCACCAAAAGAGTGCATATGCAGGCAGAAATGGCTTCCCTAGTTGCAGCCAGTGCAGTACATCCTCCAGCAACAGAGCTCATTCTCTGCAGCCTTGCTGGTACTCCAGCAAGAATGGTTGTTAATGTGAAGTGTGATGGCATTTTGTCAGATGAAAGCATCTGTCTGGCAGAAAATAATTTTGCTTTAGAGCAGCCACCAAACAGATGCTTGTGACTCTGCATTTTTGCTTCTGAAACCATAATTCCCTATGACAGGCTTGGTACCTTAGTGGCAAGACAGTCACAGGCACTGAATGCTCTCTCTTTGGGGTATGGGGAACTCCATAGGCATCTGTTCAATTCCCTCTGTTGTAGGCTGGCTAGAACAGTCATTTTAATCTGAAATAATTGCAGTTTGATTCTATGATCAGTTGTTGCTGCTGCTTCTCTGCCCCAGCATGAGCCCCCACCAAACCATATGGTAAGACCAGTCATGGAACTGGCTAGAAAGCAGTGGAAATTATCCAGGAAGAGTAAAAACCCAGCAGATAAACAGTCTGTTCCACCCATGTAACTACATAAACACTGGTGCTGGCACGTAAGGGAGTGAGTGATGCTTTTTTGGTGGAATAGCAAGTTTATCATATCATAATATGATAATGTAATATCATATTACTATGATAATGTAATGTAATAATATGTACATAATATGGTATGTAATACCATGTTATTGTGCAATAGTGTTAGGTGTTCAGCATGCTCCTCTGTGACAGAAAACATTCCAACTTGATTCAGTTGCACCCCAAACATAAAGCACTTTTTATGTACACAATGACAGGTAGCTGTCTTCTGTAACTCCTGTCACCTTTGTCTTTTAGAAAACAATTCCAGACATGGATCAAATTAACAATTCATTATACCTATGCAAAGTAAGCATAAGAAAGCTTTCCTCGTTGACATGTTTTGATGAGAATGTACTGGTAATATATTCCTGTGGTTTGTTATCAAATAATGGTTGTCTTATTTTCTTTAATCTTTCTAGAAAACTATTTAAAATGCATCTCACAAATCTTAAATAACTTGAAACAACCTGATGAAAGGACCAGGAGGTTTTACAAATACATACAGGGTCCTCTTCAACAGATACCGTAAATGCTTTAGAAAGTTCTTCCAAGAAAGCTACATAACTTGCTTGCTAATGTCCATTATTGTACCAACACTGCTTATACCAGATCATCTCCTAATGGTTCTTAAATGCACATAGATAAGAGACAGAGGGAGGTGCTTTATCATTTGCTTGAAAAGAGAACAAATCCATCACAGACAGAACGAGTGAAATACATTCCCTTACTTAGAACTGGAACACTTCAGTTCAGGTACCAGGCAAATGTAATGTCCCAGATACACTGATAATCAAAATTTATTTGAACATATGGGAGAAAATGTTGTTGTATTTCCCCTGGTTTGTGTTTTTTCAAGTCTGCCTTGTTTACCAAGTTGTTTAATCTTATTTCTCTTCAGTTCCCATCAGGTTAGATCATAATATGCCTGTTAATACCTGTTTGTAGAAAGAAAAAAAAATCAGATGCTTCTTTATCTTATTTAGTACCTCTTATATCAATGTGTTGGTGAACAAAACTCAGTATTCCCTGAACAGATTTCATGTACCAATAGAATTAGAAATACGGATTTGTAGTTTATAATCCAGGAGAGTTTACATGTGGACCCTAGTCCTGATCTGGGGCATGAATACGTTTTATTACGTAATTCTTAATATCATGTTTTATTATGTCAGCATCGCACACTGGAGCAGAGACATGGAGCTGTTGGAATAGAAACATAAATAGGAAATGTCTATTGCTTACCTCTTTGTAGTTCCTCAGAAGCAACTCTAATAATACAGTATTACCAACAGGAAGCTGGAAGTATTGAACCCTGGTCCTCTCACAGCCTGTGTAAGTAAATGTGTTGCTAAGTGAGCTACTTACTTCAGTGTAATCCAGTACCACAAAATGTGTCATTTGGTTTTGTATCACAGAAGGGGATGCTGGAGATCATCTGCTTCTGGTGAAAGAGATGCCAGGTTTGGGCTATCAGCTGAGCAAGAGTTTGTTACATCTGTTTTCCAGCTAGAGGTCTAGACCTCACTTTGGGAACCTCAGCCTATTCACGAATTTGGACTGAAGGTGGAAGAGGCTGGTAGGCAGAGAATACTACTTTAGTACCTCCTGTATTCAAACTCAGTTCCTAGATCAAGCCAATAACAAACAATTAGGATTTTATTTCATTCCATTCCATTCCATTATATAGCAAACTCTATATGCACCTGCATTTTCTTCCTTTCCCTCCCTACTTTTCTCTTTGCCTCTCCTTCATGCACTATTTGTGAACCATTTCTCCCATTCCATCTCAGTAATATCTGCATCAAACAAATACATATAGTAGCATTTAGTGTAGCATCAGTCTACATGATCAGCACCTAGTATTTCTATCAAGGCATGCAGGACTATCCTCTTTGTCTTCATATGAGTATATTTATTTCATATGGGCGTGAGAAGAAGAGCAAGAATAAACCATGTCATTCTTATTTTGTATCAGGACATCAGTCTTAGTTTGCTGTGATGGACTAGTAACTTTAACTTCAAATACTATGTGCCTTTCTGAATCTTCAGTCTGAGGCAGAATAAGAAAGGGTAGTGGGGAATTTCATCCCTGTTATTCTTCTAAATTCACATGTACAACTCACATCCATGCAGTGCTAAGAAAGTATTTCACAAACATTTTTTAGAAGGTACAACTCATAAAATACATCTCTGAAGCTGACAGAGGCTTAACAGATAGTCACTGCTTAAAACGCACCCTGCAGCCACAGTCCTCTTTCTTACTCACATGTCAACACACAGACACTTGTTAGTGGAGACAGAGTGCTGCAAAAGCACTTGGACTGAGCCTGTAAGTAAAGGTATGAGTGTAAGGAGGAGGTAAATGAGTGACAGAGAATTAGAAGATAAATATTTCTAGATTGTTACCTAGGCTGAGCTCACAAAATCAAAGCAGAAAACTGTTTAATTCCAAACCAGTTATAAAGCTAAATTAATATAAGAAATCTGTTAACTAACAACTATTTTTGTAGGGTTTTTGTTGAATTTACCGTATTGAATACGTTTTTATTTCTTGGTAAGTTATCTCCCACTGTAGTATTATTTCACTGTAGTTTTGGCTGCTATCAGATATTTCTCATCATACAGAATTTGTGAGTAAAAGCTTGAAATCAAGGTGGGAAGACAGGAAAATCTGAAAGTTGAAGCATTTTACCTTTAACAATGAGATTATGTGATAGTCACTCACCTTACACCTTGTGGGAGAAGCTCAGCCCACTATATCTGTTTAGCTAACTTCAAAACCTTGCTGTTGCTAGTACAGTTGCGTGTATGACCACAGGCTGTACTGCAGCTTATGGAACAACAGCATTAGTCTAAGCTGTAAAAACAAGAAGGAACTTTGGCCTGAGGGTCTAAGCACCAGAAAGAAAAGTCCCTTATTTTGCCCTAGCACTGCATATGCAGTGTTTAAGTTCTTAATGCAGGACACGAGTCCTGGACTGAACTCCCTGCTTTCAGAGAGTTTTTTTTCTGATTGCAACAGACAGAGGGGGAAAGAGATGAAAAAAATATATCAAAATGAAGGGATATGTCATGGGCCAAAGTGATAGGAAAAGAGAGTTCCATGTCTGCTGCTTTTAGGATCAAAATTAAATTAATTGTTCCAGACACAAATTTACTGTACTTGGTAATTCCAGGTGAATTCACTGCAGCATCATTCACATCAGCCACTCCCACCATTGTGCACCACCACCTCAGCATGGACCAAGTCATCTTTCTAGGCATCACCCTGGCCCGTAGTCGGGCAGGGACCGGAAGCACCCTGGTCTGGCTCACAGTCGGGGTGTACTGAAAGTGTAACCACTGACTGCTGAGTAGGATTCTTGCTGCCAGTCCACAAACTTTATATACACCTCTCCATTAAAAATACCTCAGTGAGAATCCACAGCTAATCCTAATGACTTCAGGTGAAAATAAAGAAAGCTGTTACATTCAGACCATTATTGTTCATGCTGCTTTGTGAATTTATTTCTTTAAATTTTCCACTTGTGCTCCTGCCAAGAGAGATCTATTAGACAGAAAGCAGCAAGAGTAAAACTTCATCATTTTGTTTCAAACTATAAAATAATTTACATCACATATTTTACTTACTTTTGTCTTTTTTTTTTTGGTTTTTTGTTTTTTGAAACCACAAACATTCCAGCATCACACTGTAGGAATAAGAATAACAATAGAAAGCATAACCTTTTGCATAGTATTAAATGAACAGACAGAGTTAAGTTCTTTATTTACAATTATTGTCTAGATAAAAAAATTCATAAAAACAGATGAATGAACATATATTAATAACCCCTAGTGGGATGGATTGCCAATGTACCACTGTATTGTTGTCCACAAATCTCATGCTGCTAAATACAGTACGTAGAGAGCGAGCATTTATATATTGCAGGGAATTTTAACAAACTGATCATTTTGGTTTTTGATCCATTGTTCCCATCACAGAGAGGTCAAGCAATAAAAGAAAGGAATTGTGATGCACGACTTGTAGTTGAAAGGTCATAGCTATTCTGCTTTAAAAAAAAAAAATCTATCATTTATCATATACATAAAGCACAGTCTCTGCTCACAAAAGCCCAAGTTTTCTATGCATCTCAGTTTATATATGTTTTACTATATATACACAGAATGCAGTGTTCATTGTCTTAACAGTTTTCAAGTCTGCAAATGGTACCTTAGGGAGGGGTACTCCTACAGGAGAATTAAAAGACAAATGAAACCAAGAGAAAACATAAAGAGTGTTTGGAAATAAAAAGGCAAACAGTCAGTGTGAAGATGCTGAAAGTAAATTGTTCCAGTATTAGTAGCTTCTGTAGATGTTCAAGTCCAAAGCTAGAGGCTTCCCTGTAAATAGATAACACTTTTTTTTTTTCTTCTGAATATGATATCCCAAATAGGCCATAGAAACCCAATACATGTTATACAAAGGTTAATCACCATATTTACAAAGCGAACAATCCTGACTGAGTTTCAATCACTTTGTTGCTAGGAGTTAGCTAAATAATTATGTTTCCATGCTAGCTTTTTATTGTTAAGAAACGGGTCACACTATGTGTTGAAGAGAGAGTTGTATATGCCTCCAAAGACCTGTTCTGCTGTTGAGTGAAAGGTTTGGATCAGATAGCGAACTAAGACTTTGAGCCAAAAAACATTCAAGCTTCTACACAAGAGTCCGGAAGCTGGCAAGTCAAGCTGATTAGAGCGTTACCTGGCTGAATAGTCTTGATGCACCCTGAAAACGTTTTAGTCACTTCAGTCTGCAGTTTGGCCATGAGTCTAATCTTGTTTTGGAGAGTTCTGTCTTGGTTTAGTGCTTGTGACTGCAGAGATGCACCACTTTACGAGCCAACTCTAAGACAACCAGTAAGACCTTAACAAATCAATTTATCAAGCTAGTTTGAGAGTGTTTTTCAACACATCTGGCATAATCAATTGTGTAATTCAAAATGTCTTTTGCACTGTACAGTTACGGAAAAAGATCATATGCTGAAAAGTCTCCAAGCAAACTTTATATTAAATACAAAAATTACTTATGAAAAATCTGTGATCCACAAAGTGCTTAGCATTCAAGTGGTTGACAAAGCAATTATAGAAGCTCGTAAGTTTTATGTTATCAGGGCTGTTACCATCTTGAGAAATCCTTTTTTACCCTCCATACTGCAGGTTTTCTAAACAGCTTTCTTCGTAGAAAGCTCAAGGTACAATAACACAGGACTGTGTTACAGTGATACCTTGAGACTACAGGAAGACAAGCTCAGTTAAAAAAACAAAAAATCAGACAAAGCACAACTCAATATACAATTAATAAAGTTTCATTCAGGCCTAATAGTGCAGAAATTATATTGTTCCTTTAAACAAAATCAAAGCAACAACCTACAGTGATTCTCATCCAAAATGCCAACAGCCCATACTTTGCAAGTAGTAAGGAAATCAATGCCTAAAGTACTAACTGAAAGGGATTAACACAATATATCACAATATTTTAACATTAGTTTTTATCTCCATATAGACAACCCAAATATAACTTATTATATTTATAAACTCATATAATATCTCTCTAAAAATAGTTTTGGAAGCCATTGCCATATGTTAAAAGAATGAAACAGCCTCCTTTAGTGTATGTTGCACCAAAACAAAGTCAAGCATATTACTGGGGGGAAGAGACAACCTGATAATTTTGATTTTTATTTGAAACAAAGGAATCCTGGTTTACCTCCCTGTATACAGGATCACAATGCTACATCCAATGTGTTATATTTTGGCTTCTTTTGTTATCTACTAGCAGTATCTACATTATTTAACACCCAAGAAAAAAAAAAATCAGGCAGAAATCAGAGCACGGTTGTAATAAAATATCCAGGGTGCGATATTACAGACATTTTCAATGAGCTGAGCTGAGCCAGTTTTATACTACTTCGGCAGGAAGTGCTTTCTTAATCCTACAAATAGTTAAGGATATTATCTACAGGTTTGTAAACAAATTACATTCTTTTTTTTAGGACATAAATAAGTTAAAATAGTCAGAGCAATTTGAGCAGAAACAAGGCAACATGCCAACAAAGAAACTTTATATATATAACTATTTATATATAGATAGATATATACATATATATAATTAATTATGTATATACTTATATGTATATATCTCTATATATAGTCTCATAAATGTTTACGTTCCTCTGTCCAACTGGTGCAAATCTACTGTGCAAGTTAAGCTTTGCAACTTCAAAAAAGTTATTTAAATTAATCTATACAATTGAGTCCATGCCACACAAGCATTTCAAAAAACTCACAGACCAGTGAATTGGATAAATAGCCTCAGAAAGAAGTCCTCTGCAGTTCCTGCTTAAGGAGGAAAAAACAAAAGGGAAGAAAAAGAAACCAAAGGAGAGAAAGAAGGGCCAGAAGTGTACAGTACGTTCATGCAGGAGGGGTGGTTTTGTTTGTCTGACAGGGAACAAGGGGGGGTGGGGGGGGGCTATGTAAATCAGCCATTCATTCTTTCCCCAAAACCATTGTGATCAACAATTCATTCACTTGCCTCAGAGTGAACTAGAGTTCAAACAGCTTTTCAGCCAGCATTGTTTTTAATATATATATTTATATATTTCGGTTGCTGTGGGGGTTGTTATTTTATTTTACTTCTTTTTTTTCTTTTCTTTTCCTCTTTTTTTTTTTTTTTTTTTTTTTTGCAGTGACCTTTTCAGCTAAAGTGATGTCTCCAGGCTATGTATTGGGCTTCCTGGACTAGAAGAGGTAGCTGATTTACTTGTATCAGTTGTAAGATTTATTCCACTGTCGATAGCACTGTTGTTCTTGTTCAGCGAAGACGGTGGACTCGAGTTTTTCTTGAGAGCAGAGTCTTCTTCTAGGTCTGTGTCATCAATGAGTGGGATGTGGGGCTGGGAATCTTCTATCCTAAATTCAGGATGAGTCATAAAGTTGTGAATAGAGGTTCTAGATTCTGGTTTTTCTAAACCTTCATAGAGAGAGCTACGGAATGCCTTCACGACGCGGATCTGGGGGGAGAGAAGGAAAGAGGGGTCAGAGGCAGCGCCTTTGAAGGGCGACACTGTGCTAGAGAATACTTTGTGAAAAATGTAGCGTATGGTTAGGGCAGTGCAGGCAGCTGAAGTCCACAGTCTCTGGATGTTATGTGCATAAACAAGTGGCTCAGTTATGTGCATTTTGAATATCTGTATCAACTGCAACATTAAAATAAATCAAGTTTAAAGCCATCAAAGAACTGATGGGAAGTAGTGGTTAAAGAAAGCGAACGTCCACTCGTGTGGTACATCCCTAGTAAAAGACAAGCCATGTTAATTGTAATGCAAATGTAAAACCATGCATGTTGATAGTTTTGCAGTGAGTAGTAGGAAGGCTTTTTTAATTAAAAAAGTCTCTTTTGTATTGTTAAAAAACCATTACACATAACATATCACACTTCACAAACAGAAAAGCACAGAACACAGACACGGTTGGATGGGCACGTATGAGACACACACAGGAGCCAAGTGTAAAAACTAGAACTAATATCAGTGGTTTAAAGCAAAATCTAAATGAGGGCAGCCAAGAGCACAAAAAGCCAAGCAGACAAAGCACTAAGCGTAATCATGCTACCACGGGGAAAAAAAAAAATTCACAGTTACCACATGAACAGAGATAACTTGCACACAACAACTACACTTGGAAGCCTGGATAATGTGAACATAGTATTGTTGAACCAACTTTTATTTTTCCTTCATGCATATGTGAGGTAAACACTCGAGTATAGACCCACTGTTCTAGCCATTTAGCTTTTTAATATATATAAAGTGTGATACTGTATTGATTGTTGGGTTGAATCGGATTGCATTGTTAAACAACAAGTTTTTTTTGGTTTCTATGTCTCAGTTGTAAAACTGTGAAGTTAAATTCTGGAAGCGATAAAATTTGTGCCATATATGCAGTCTTTAAACTATAAACTAGGTCAAGCTGAGTGATGCCAGGGTCAGGCTCATGTCATTAACCCCCTGACAGTAAGAACACATGAAAATGAACTGCAAGGCTCAGCCCAGCAGACCGTCAGGGACAGCGCAGAGTGCTTTCTCAGAAGAAAACGAGAGGAACAGAGCAAGGAGCATTGCAGAGTGCAGGCACTGAGTCCTCTGCGGGAGGGCAAAGGGAGGGATGCTACCTGTACCCCAGTGACCTACCAGCTCTGAAAAGAAGGGAAGGTTTGTGCTGGTTTACTGCTGAAAAAAACATAACTTTTTGAAAGAGGGAGGCGGGGGCAGAGAGGAAAAAACAGAATGGCAAAACGTGATCTGTTGGCAAATGTTTTATGACTAAGTATGAAGTTCTATCCTTTTACTTCCATGTAGTCTATGAGTGAATTTTTAGCATTTCTTAGAGAGGAGACCAAAGCACAAGCAGAGGCAGAAAAGGTGCAAGCAGGCATTGTGAAAGCTTCTCCACACACATTTGAAATGGTTTTGTGGTTAGCATATGTATCTTTTTACACATAAATATGCTGCACATCATCGGTTAGCCTAATACACCCCTAATTTGTAAAGCTTTAATTCCTCTTTCAATTGGCAGACTGCATTTCAGTCATGGCATGGGGTCACAGTGTTACAGCTGTGGAGTCTAGCTGATCCTGTGGTTGGAGTTGTCAATCTGTACAGAATTTCAGCACAGCTGAGAAGGAGCTGACTTGTACTTTGATCTCTTTGAACTTTATCCTCATTTATGTTCTCTAATTTGGATATTTATAATCTTTCAGAAATAACAGCGGAAGTCAGTCATGCCATCTTAAGATATATGGCCTTCAGTCAGTCCAAACATTTTTCCTTTCTTTTGTACGTATATATTTGGTAACAGCGGGGCACAAAAAGTAGTTCATGGGACTGCTTATGTTCCAAATAAAAAGATAAGATTGGAGTGGTACAGAACAGCTAGTCCAGATGCTACTATACTAGAATATTTCAGGAGGCTGGCAGAGGTGCAAGAAAAAAGGCAGATGAGAATAAACGTATAGGCTACAACCGCAGAGTGTACCTAACACCTCTTTGGCAGAAGCCCCTGGAGTTACAAACTAGGGATTTAGGAGAGCTGAATCTCTTTGAGCTGTGCTGCAGTGTGTGATGGTTCTGTATAGTGAACACACTGAGATAAGAGATTCATTTGCATTACTAAAGATAGGATTGGTACTCATAGGGAAGAGGTGACATACTAATTCCCTCATTATCTATACCTTTCTATATTGTATTTTGAAGTGCAAAGTAATATAGTCTAAACAAGAAAAACAGAATAGTATGTTTTGTCAAGGCAATCTTTAAGACATGTTACTACATCACCCTATTTTAAATCAGGAAACTCTGCACTACACTTGCTTTATAGTATGGGCTGATACAGTGAAATTTTCTGCAAAGCTACCTATTATTTCTGTTAGCTAACTAATAATAACAGCCATCTTATTCAGTTGCAGCTATTTGCTATATCATATCAACAAAATAATTTCATTTTCTTGAATACAGCCATTTCTTATTGCATACATTTAGGTTCTATTTGCTAGCTGGATTCTTTTCAATAAAGGTAAATTTTTATTTAAATAAAATGTTTACAATTTGATATCATGCTTGAACAGATACAGAAGAATCTAATGGAATAAGGCTTTTCTTCAAGTCACACAAACTGCATTTAAGCCTCTGTGGGTATAGCAAGGAAGGAACCGAGTTCAATTTATGAGGCTCCAAGTTCCCTACTAGGAACTATATTGCATTTAATACCAAAACTTGGCATCAGAGTTGCATTTCATACCAAACTTTTAGACAGTCTGACTAGCTAACAGTTTACACAGCTGAGGGAAAACTGTAGCTTTAGGTTATATCTGAAAGCCAGTTACATCTGCCTGCCATGACCTGAATTTGGTACTCAGCAGTGACTGTTTGAACAAAGGATCCACTGAGAGAAAACAGTGCACTAACATATTGTGCTTGGACATGCTTACACAGTCTGTAACTGCAGAACAGTCAGCCAGCAGTTGTAGCCCGTAGTGTGAAGACCTGTGGCAGTTTTGGCATGGACTGTGCAGTCTTACAGGAACATTTAGATGTCAATAAAATAGCTTCTAATTGTTCTTAGTGATTTTTTAGTGAAAATATTAGAACTAGTTCAGATCTGCTGATACCTAAAGTAGTTAATCTTATGAACACAGTGGTAATGCAGAAACCAAACTTGGGCAAACCCTAAAGCTGAGAATACATAAAGTTAGCTTTCTAACAAGCTTTCTTCAGTAGGGAGCTGCAGAAAACTACCTTCTTTCCTTAAAATATCCCTTAAGACATGCATATGTATTTTCCGCTAATTTTTGCTTAAGGAGAAACTCCCTCCCCAGCTTTAAATTCTGCATATTTAGCTTGGCATCTAGAAGAAAAACATTCATGTTTTTAGTGTCACACCTCACGCAGTGACAGAATTTCTGCATTACAGTGTAATTCAAAATGTTAATAGTCTGTCCCCCAATGTAGAAAATTATTGCTTATAAGAACAAACTTGCTCCTTTCATTATGTATGTTAGTGGAAGCTGAGGTTTATTGGATACAGAAGTGGTATTCTAATTTCTGTGGAATATTCTACTATATTTAAGCTGAGAACAAAAAAAAAAAACAACACTGTTTACCCACTGTTACTTGGCCCAACAGCAACAAATTCTTTTAATACATGCTTAAGTTCAAGATTTGAACTAGTATCTGGTGTAAAAATGTTCAGGGGCTTTGCTGAAACAAAGTTCATGTTACTTTTCTGAAGATAAAGCGGATGAACTTTCATATAATGTTATGGTCTACAGCATGTAAAAGCACGGACATACCCATGATGGATAGAACCCAGAGGGTGCTGGTTTATTATGAACTATGTAAGTTCATGTCATGATGCTACTTTATGATACTGACAATGCCAAGGAAAGACAAACAATGTGATACAGCTCCCTTTTCTCACAGTAATGGAGACAACAGAAAAAAAAAATGAACTGCTTTTAAACAAAAGACTGTGGGGACAACACTTCAGGACATTTTTGACACTGCTATTAGTTTCCACTTCTTTCTTCTCTGTAGCTGTAATAGAAAAAACTCTTCATGTTCATCCCACCTTGAAAGTTAGATTTATTATACTGCATCAGGCAAGAAAAATAAAAGAAATAGATTTTTAGATACTACAAATTTTTCCCTTCAGAAGAAAAAAGATGAGTTCAGAATCTCACTCCTAAGTACAACAATCTAGGCAAAATACACAAGGCCTGTTAAGCATCAACAGATGTATTATGGTTGGTAGTGTGTGGGCTTATACTCGAATGTTTACCTGGCTTCATATAAGCCAAGTATCTTGAGTTTGGTTCACATTCATTTCAGGCTCAAGGTTAAAGACTCACAACCTCTTTTTATTTCACTCTCTCCTGCTGAACCCTTTTGTCCAATGTTCTCTAGCCCTCTGGGAAAACAAACACATTTAATATTCAGACAGTAGAGAGTAGGGCACTGCAGAAGCAAATAAATTCAATACTGAAAGATCAGTAAGGTGATTAGTATAAAATTGTAAACAAGAGGTCAATTTTGCAAAGAGATGCCAACTCTTAGGTGTAACTGATACTATTCTATATTAAGACTATAACTATGCAAAGGCAAATAAGTTTGGTCAAGTACTACTGCATATGTAAAGCTTTGAAACAGAAGGCTTATCTTCAGCATATTTGGGTTTGTTTAGTTTTGAATCCTACCACCTTTATATGAGTAGAATGAGATTATGTATCCACAAGAGTAGGTATTAAATGTGTTGGAGTCACCTCTAAGTGCTGTGGCTAGTATGCTGTAGATTGTATAATGCAGAAGTTCAACAAATTCAAAGATAAAATACCCACTAAATTTTAGAAAAGTTTTCTGCTCTGATGAGTGAAACAGATGCACAAGATTATCTACGCTACTCTCTTCTTTCTACATAAATATGCAGTAAATCCAGTAAGAGCTGCTGAAAAGTCAAAGCA